ATGTTGGGTGTATATCCAAGGGTCTGGGTCTCATTTATCATATGTTCCACACATATTTATGTTTCTGGTTTGGCTTAAATCTGAGCCAAATGCAAGATGTATTGCAGACAAACTTGTCTTGATGCAAATATTTGAAGGTTTATTTTTACAATACATGAAAAGCTATATGGGGTTGCCTTCATTATCTGAGGAATAAATGGATAAGATGTTAAACATGTCATATAGCTAGGCAGGTTTTGTATAATCTACAGTTTTAAATGTACTTCCTTTCTGTTTTGTACACTTCTTCTCCGCTCAATTCTGTGTTTGTTTTTATTCCTTTGAAACTATTGTATGATTAAATCTGAGATAATGTATGCTGTATACTGAGAGTAGGAATGCAGAAACACATCCTGAGACGGAGAGTAAAGGAAAGTTTGGGTGTTTCCTTTGAACTCACATACAGTACACAATCATAAATCTTTTGCCATATGCACACATACATATAGATACACACGTCCAAGCTTAAATGCAATCACATATTCAAGCCCTTGTAGTATTCGCACAATAAAGCCCAACACACCCTTAAGGTGATGTGTGTTTCAGACCATAGAGATGAGGGTCCTCTGGGTGTAACAGGAAATCCCTGTGCGCTGTGGGTGCGCTGATTTCATTGTTCCCCCCTGGAAACTCCTGGACAAATATGCATTTGTTCCCTGTGAAATCAGAGGAAATGTTCCACATCGCTCGGCATCAGGACACGGGTCCTCAAGGGAGCGCTGGCCGGGATGTCCTGAAATGTTTGGAGAATTCATTAAATATTCACCTGCAGCATCGAGAGGCTCATGGGCTAGAAGAAGGTCAACCTGTTATGACTGTAGGGATATAAGGACAGCAACAGTCTACAAATCTTCCATCACAGACTGAAAAGCCAATCGTTTTGGCTGAAAACAAACAAAATAAAATGTTTGTAGTACTTATAATATGTGTCGGCTTATTTGAAGCTAATATGCAGGATTATTGATGTTCTTATATATACTGTTGCATGATTGCACTCTTTACTTACTGTATTGATTACAGCTAAATTAATATTTTTGGGAAAGTCAACGTTCTGGTTTCAGGCTGGTGTTAGAGGAAAGTTAAACTTGGACCCATCGGATATCAACCTGATGATACAAACCCTATTGGACCAAGCGCTAATTGTTGGGTGTTCAAATGTATCCAGCAGGCCTAGACCACATTTTTTACTGACCCATTAGCAGCTTCAGATGCAGAAAGTAGCCGGTTTACAGCCACAGCTTGTTGCAATGCACTCGTCAATCAGTTCTGAGATTGCCTTTTGGGGAATGCATTCTGCCTCTTGCTTTCTACACTGATTTTTGGCATGCTAGAACCAAAAGTGAAACACTGCTTTTTGGTCAATAGTATTTGGACTGCAAAGCGGAAACGAAAACGCTTCCAAAACCAAAATATTGTAGAGTTTCCTACTGGTCATTTTAGCTTCTTATGCAGAATCTGTACAGTACATACACATTCAAGGAAAATTGGTTGAACGACATTTAACATTCTGTGTTATTTTTTCTTGCTTTTTTTAGGTGGAAATCTCAGTCTGACTAAAAAAGATCAGGTGCTCACCAAAGCAATATAATATATCCTCAGGGGACCATAAATATGAACGAAGGAGAGAATTTGAGTGAAGTTAACGTCAGGAGGTCGACAAAACAATCATAATTTCTCTTCTGTGGAGCCTCTGCATATCCGTTCTTTAAATCATGAATTTCTTTTTTTAAATGCCCAAACTTTAGGGCACTGCCAACATCTGCATCTTTATTGAGCTTCATCGCTGGAAGAAAAAAACTCTCATAATAACCTCAATACACCATTGGTATCCAAACTGTCTCTCTAACCAAAGGCAACACCAAAATGTTGTATATTGTTTAAATGTATCCATCTCTATCTATCTATCATCTATCTATCTATCTATCTATCTATCTATCTAATCTATCTATCTATCTATCTATCTATCTATCTATCTATCTATCTATCTATCTATCTATCTATCTATCTATCTATCTATCTATCTATCTATCTATCTATCTATCTATCTATCTATCTATCTATCTATCTATCTATCTATCTATCTATCTATCTATCTATCCATCTAACCATCTATCTATCTAACCATCTATCTATCTATCTATCTCTCTTTCACTCCCTCCTGTCAACACTGCCCTCTCGCCCACCTCCCCCTCAGGCTACAGCCTCTCTGAATGCTTGTCTGTCAGAATCCTTCTCTGTGTTAATCCACCAGTATTGTGCTGTTGTATTGTTGCTTTACTCTGAGCCAGGGATCCCCCCAATCACTCTGAATACCCAGCATGCATCATTTCTGTTCTGCTTTGCTGTCACTCACTTTTATTGTCTCTGTGCGGATGTCCAGACCCTGGTTTCTAAACAAAAGAGGGAGTTGTTTACAGATTGCTCATCAATACGCAGGATGCTCGACATGCCTCATCAACAAATGAGATGCAAAGAGTGGACTGCTGCATGCAGGTGGGCTTTTTACCAAGACAAATATTTTGCAGAGATGGAGCTGCACTGGAAAAACATCACTGGACTAGAATAAATACATTTATTTCCACATTTATTTATTTGTCTATTTATTTATTCCTGTATTTATTGCCTTATTTATTTATTTATCATGTTTTTATTCATACATTATTTTACTCATGACTTATTTGAAGCAGTCACGTGGTATCGCCGGGCAGCGAGGCTTCGTTTGTCATCGATGACGTCACTGGCCTAAAACGATACAAGCCTCGATACACGCTTCACCAAAAACTTCCTGGATTACTTGAACCACGCTCCGAAGCGTCGGCGCAGTACGTAACATCACTACCAACAGATTACTTCCAGATTGTCTTCGTGCCATGAGCCTTAGCTTTATAGCTTAAGCCTGTCTGTACCTTCAACCTGTGTTTTTTTTATCCAGCCTGTTTTTCCTGTATTTCAATTTGTTTGCACGTGCCTCTTAGAGTCGTGCTATTGTTTTTGCTTTTTCTTCTGTGTATTGTATACTTCAGAAAATATCCTCAGGGGACTATAAATATGGATTTTGACTGACGGAAAGGTCAGTGGATCCCCAACATAATCATCAGTTTTTCATCATCATCATATTTGTGCTCCATAGTGATGTCACTTGTTAAACAAAGGAGACAAATGGAGGCGTTTCAGGCAGAGTTAGGGTGTGAGAGAAACTCCCTTTGCAGACCATTTACATGCACAGAAACCTATATAACACACTCAGGGCCGCCCCTGGCCAACTTGTGGCCCCACCTAAAGTTATATGATGAGGCCCTCTGTGACGCGAGCGTTAACGGGGGGGAGTGCTAGTCAGGGCCGCCCCTCCCTACAGGTCGATCACGCAGACTGCGTGGGGCCTCACCTCGCGGAGGGGGCCTCATCTTGCGGAGGGGGCCTCATCTTGCGGAGGGGGCCTCATCTTGCGGAGGGGGCCTCATCTGAAGCGCAAATGCGGCGCACCTACAGGGTAAGCTCGCCACATTTTCGCCGCTGCGAGGCTCCACTAGCACCCCCCCCCCGTCGACGCTCGCGACACAGAGGGCCTCATCATATAACTTTGCATGGGGCCACAAATGGCCAGGGGCAGCCCTGGTGCTAGTGGAGCCTCGCAGTGGAGAAAATGTGGCGCGCTTACACTGTAGGTGCGCCGCATTTGCGCTTCAGATGAGGCCCCCTCCGCAAGATGAGGCCCCCTCCGCGCGGTGAGGCCCCCTCCGCGAGGTGAGGCCCCCTCCGCGAGGTGAGGCCCCACGCAGTCTGCGTGATTGACCTGTAGGGAGGGGCGGCCCTGAACACACTAAAGGAAAGGGAAACCCCCAAAAAGCATAACAGGATCTTTTTAAATCTTCTTCTTCAATCACAGTCAGATATCATGTTGACAAACATAAGTTTATATATGTTGTCAGAGTCGGATCCTGTCCTCTGATATTTCATCTTCATGTGAAGCTGCCTGAGGAAAACCTCTTCCTGTTGTGGTTCCTGTTTGGGCTTCTGAGGAGCTGCAGTTATTCTAACAATGTTGGCTGATGTGTTCATGAAACAGCCAGAGACTCGTAAATCCAAGCAGACCAAAAGGAACGTGTGCGGTAAATCCACTCAACAGGTAGAACAGTCTGTACAGACACAGCAGCAATAATAGCGCGGCTTATATGGTTACAAATTGTTGTGAAAATAAACTTGTGGGTGTTAATTTGAGTGTTGAATAAATGTAGTGAGTACAATATGTGGCTAAAACTGTAGTGGAGTAGAAGTAAAAAGGTATACCATTTAAATACTCAAGTATATTACAATTGTGTCTCAAGTAAGTGTGGTACTCGAGTTAATATACTTAACTATTTTCCAGTGTACATTTACTCAAGTACTGAACTTAATTTTGAGAGACTTGTACTTTACCTGAGTATTTCATTTTGTTTGGCTTTGTACTTTTACTCCACCACAATTCAGAGGTAAATGGTGTACTGCACCTTTACCAGCTTGATAACACTTTAATGATCAATCATTATAAAACATGTCATATATATTATTCTGAAATGGACCAATCTGCACAATGACTACTTTTACTTTTGGTACTTATATTTTGATGCTACTTTTCTACTTTTACTTGAGGAACATTTTTGAATGCAGGACTTTTACTGTAACAGAGTATTCGTACACTCTGGTACTTCTACTTTTACTCAAGTACAAGATCTGACTACTTCTACTTTTACTCAAGTACAAGATCTGTGTACTTCGACTTTTACTCTACTACAAGATCTGAGTACTTCTACATTTACTCAAGTACAAGATCTGAGTAGGCCTACTTCTACATTTACTCAAGTACAAGATCTGAGTACTTCTACTTTTACTCAAGTACAAGGATCTGAGTACTTCTTCCACCTCTTTCCACCAGTGTAAATACGGCAGCCTGCTGGTTGTCATGCTTCATCACATGGAGAGGCTTTGTGTATTCATCACAGGGGCTCCTGGGTGTCCCTGGCTAATGCCTGGAGGCTGGTGCTCCACAGTAGCGGCAGTCAGCTCCTGAGTGTCCCGGTGCAGTGACTCTGACTCTGGGCTGGTTCTTGTGTCTCCACGGCCCCCCGCGGCGCTGCTTTCCATACGGGGCGGGGTGGCACTCAGTGCGGCGCACAGAGCACCGTCACAGCAGCTCTCCTGCACCGACTGCCCGGCAACATGGGTCTGGAGAAGGAAAACATGGATACCAGTGTGTTTATGGACGACGACGAGTTCAACAGATCCATAGAGCCCATTCTGAAGAAGGGGAAGCTGTACGAAGCGGAACTGGACCGAGATCCGAACGATATTAACGCTCAGCTGAAGGTAAACTATCGTCAATGTGCGGGCTTAGAAAGTGAAACTTGGTGACAAAGTAGCGATTGCCAAGATTATTTTTCTACATTAACTTACTAATGAGGTCATATTGTATCTAACACACTCGGTTATGTGCAGTTTGAACACCTGGAAGTCGCGTAAAACCATAATAAAGCCATGGTCGTTTTTTAGCTCACTGTGTGTGCCACTGTGTGATCTGACAGGTTGGTTTTGACGATGTCATCGCGGAGCCCATCTCCACACACAGCTTCGACAAAGTGTGGATAGGAAGCCACGCCGTGTTTGAGCTGGTGAAATTCATGATCTACCGGCTGCTCAGCACTCTGCTGGCCGTGCCCATGGCGTTCATCCTCGGCCTGGTGTTCGCGGTGCTCAGCTGCATCCACATCTGGTAGGAGAAGCTCCTCAAAACCTGCAGCTTTCTGATAAGTGTGATGTGTCTGTGGATCTTCTGGCACAGTGCCCAATGTTTTTATAAGTTATTATAGTTTTTAGGATGAATTTCCCCCCCAAAATAGTATACAAACAAATCATAATAGAGTGATGGCAGCATAAGCAAAACCTATACATATAATAGCATTGCAAGCTGTGTTAACTAAATGACAATTCTTAGAAAAAGCAGTTCAAACTACTTGATGAAATTGACATCAAGTAAGAAAAAAGTCACATTACAGCAAATAAATATGTACAAAAATACTATACTAGTAAACAGACGTATTATATTAGAGTGATGTACAACATAAGTACTAAATTAGGTAAATTAGGATCTCCAATTAATCTAAAGGTTTCAATAAACATGTTATATATAAGACATTGAAAGCTACAGATGACTCACACTAGAAAAGTTAAACAAAGCCCTGTTAAAGAGGACATGTTATGCTAATTGTCAAGGTTCATATTAGTATGTAGTGTCTCTACTGGGACATGTCTTCATGCTTTAATGTTCAAAAAGCTCTTTATTTTTCTCATACTGCCCGTCAGCACCACCTCTTTTCACCCTCTGTCTGAAACCAGAGCCCAGTCTGCTCTGATTGGTTAGCTGGCCGGCTCTGTTGTGAGTGGTCCACCGCTTAGAGATGTCCCGCCCCTTAGCCTATCACTTACAATGTGTTGGAGCGATATATCACAAGTGTTACATAGTGATGTCACTATGTGCCAGAAGTAAACAAAGGAGTCCAATTTGAGGAAAACCCCAAAAAGAGTAGGGCCTCTTTAAATTACGACCCAAATATGAATGTCGTTGAACAACCAGCAAGACACAGCAACATCTAGACGAATGTTGTCGTTTTATTACATCTAGTTAAATGCTCCCGAGCACTGGATACAAAAGATACAAAGAGAAGAGAAAAGGGATCTACAACTTCCTGACTTGTTACGGAGAAACAACACTCTTTGAAATACCATCCATCCATCTTCTTCCGCTTATCCGTGGTCGGGTCTTGGAGGTATCAGTTCCAGCAGAGAGCCCCAAACGTTCCTTTCCCTGGCCACATCAACCAGCTCTGACTGGGGGATCCCAAGGCGCTCCCAGGCCAGCGAAGATATATAACCCCTCCACCTGGTCCTAGGTTTACCCCTTGGTCTCCTCCCAGCTGGACGTGCCTGGAACACCTCCCTATGAGGCGCCCAGGTGGCATCCTTACTAGGTGCCCGAACCACCTCAACTGGCTCCTTCCGACGCGTCGTCTTTGAAATACAATTAGAGTAAAATCATAACACTTAAAAGCCCTGTTTTGAGTGCTTTAAACTCAACATTTTTCAGTGTCTGTGGGAACATTACAGGAACTCTTTGTGACTTGTCCTCAGGGGCCTATGCTAATACCAGCAAACTTGTTCTGGCTCTTCTCTCAAAAGTTAAATACGTGGTATGACGTTGAAACATTTAGTCAGCGTCTTGTAAACCAGGTGCCTGCAGATCATCCAATACATGCTTATATATTCCCCACCACAGCCCAAAGAGTCCCTTTTATTAACCCTCAGTGAAACAACATTTGTACCCATGCGCTCTATGGAAAGTTGGGAGGAATTTAGAGTTCCAGTGGTAGTGGAAAATAAAAACGCCCCGTGCCCTTTGCAGGAGAGCTGGCATTTGAGCAGCAGCACAGACGTATTATTTAAAGACAGTGGGACATTCTTCAGATGCAGATAGAGAGGGCTGCAGAGTTTGACCTTTCACCTAGGTGAGGTCACACGCTCGTGATTATTTTAAAGGAGGAATCTTCTGCAGGTATTCATCAATAGAGCCTGAGTGGTGACGCTCAGATGTCAATACGTGAGGAATGTGAGGAAGGGACTTCACACAGAGGGCGCCTGCTTCAAAAATGTCCCAACACGTGTTTTTATTTAATTAATATACTGGAGAAAAGGTCACAAGCTGCTGGAATGTAACAATGTGATACAGTTTCTCTTCTTGAAAACCATCATAGAGATAAGACAATAAAAGTAGATGATAAGATACAACTAATGCCAGGAATTAATTTGAAACATCATTAAGGAAAACGGTGCCCAATATTAATCAAAAGGTCATTTCAAACCCTCTCACGGCATAGAACATTTGTGTGAAAATGCACCAAAAACATAAATAGTTTTATCTGGGTCATGCTGTTTTAGCTTCAAGCAAGGTATTTTCCTTTTATCTAAATTATGATCTAAGACAAATCATTGCCGAAACATACATGTATTATCAAAACAGAAACAGGTCAAGCTAGGGGTACATTTGCAGCGACCAGAAAATAGATGTTAAAATAATCGTGCATCCCATGATTTACTTTAGGAAAGAAAACACCCACTCCATTTAAAGAGCCATTTATGATTCAAAGATATTGCTTTGAGGATATATAAGGGTTGACTTCACTCTGGATTTAACATTTCTAGCTTTGACCCTTAGCTGCATTCTTTAGTAACCAAAGGTTGCTTTAGATTGAAATCTTATTGAATCCCCAGGATAAAAGTGATGTGTTATCATCTCAACTATTGCTGAAACTCAGTTGCCTTCCTTGTTGTAGTATAGCTTATAAGGTCAGGTAACAACAGTGCTCTTTGACCATTGATGGTACTTCATAAAACCTCAAAATGCAAGCCTTAAGCTGCATTCACATCATAGTAAAACGGTTCTGTGCTGACGTTACTATTGTGATGTTACCGTTGTAGGGCGACTGTGGCTGTGAGGGAGTGTGGTCGTCTTTCAACCAAAAGGTTGTTGGTTCGATCCCGGCCCGAGCAGTCAACATGTCAGGTGTCCTGAGTTGCTAACGGTGTGTGGTTGTGTGTGAATGTTAGCTTCCTAGAGCTCTGCATGAATGAGGTGTGATTGGGTGAATGACTCGTAGTATGTGAAGTGCTTTTGAGGGGTCAAAAAGACTGGATAAAGCACTTTATAAGTACAGTCCATTTACTATTTCTATGGAGAGCGAAATATTTCCCGAGCACTGCGCTCAAAGTTTAAAGTGTAATCATGTGTATGCAGCTGATGATTTGAGTAAACACAAGCAAGAAAAGTTCAATTACAGTCATTCAAATTCACATATACAGCTTCTTTAGACAGCATGACAGAGGGTTGACTTTCAAAGCATTACGTGAATTGGTTATTTATTTGAATTCCCGGGAAAAACCTCATGTGGTATCTTCTTTCAACTCTCACCCACTCATTAGTTGCATGTTTTGAGAGTATCATACCTCAGCGATCTCAGTGATTGTGATGTTATGTTAAATGTTTGTTGTTTGTTTTTCATGTATTGTGTCTTGATATTTGTCTATGTTGATGTTACACATGGAGCTGCTGTGATGCAAGTCAAATTTCAGACTTGATCTGACCATTAAAGCATTATCATATCGTATCAGCATCTGCTCTGAAGTGACCTTTGCCCCCTCTCTCCTGCAGGCTGTTGATGCCGGCGCTCCAGGGCTTCCTGATGCTGCTGCCCTCGCTGCAGGTGGTCTGGAGGAGTCTGACGGACATGTTCATCACGCCGCTCTTCCACAGCATGGGGAAGAGTCTGTCCTCCGTCAACGTGAAAACGACAGAGTACTGACGCCCCCTCTGCACCCCCCATGGAGAGGAAATATAGGATAGACTGCAGTCAAGGAAAAAATAGTGAACAAAGCTTCTAGTGGAAACCATGAGCTCTTTATAAAGTCAAATAAGAAGTCCTTAAGAATCATGCACAAATGAATCAACTCAATTAAACAACAATTTGATCATTGCAGGTGCACAACTACTAGAAAGCTGGGCTACATTTGGTTAAAAAAAGACATCTCAGTTATGTCAAATTGTTTAATAGACTGTATATTAGTTAAGACTTGATACATATTGAAATGCAGTCATTACATTCTCTTAAAACAAGAGTTATACCTCAAATAGAAGTCCTTTCTTTTAAAAATGTCATCAAATTTAAGCCAATATTCCTTGATTTGATTAAACCTGCAAATCAACTATTCCACGCCTTAAGGATTTGTTAGTCACAAAACAAAAACTCAATGATTGTGACTCCTAATGACTTTATGAAAAGCTCGTTACCCAAAAATGGACTTGTTTTGCTGATTGTGACCAAAAACAAATTCTTGTCATTCCAAACATTTTGTGGCTGATAGCCGAGGAATGTGTGTGAGTTGTTGTTCAGGAAACTTACTGATAGATATATATATATATATTTCTGCCTTTTCATATATTGTATATATTGCAAGTCATTCAGCTAGAAGTTGAATGTAATAAGTCTTAAGAGCAGACCGTATGAATATTAAAGATGCCGCTTGTTGCACATTTACGGAACGTCCACACGGCAGCGTCGCGTTGAAGCGTGTCTGGCGTGCGACCAACAACCAATCACATTAATCTCCCGCCCCGGACACACAAGCACGCGGTTTGATTGGCTAGTGCTTGTACTGGCATATGATTTGATTGGCTGGCGCTTCCGTCGACGCTTGAAAAGTTGAACTTTTCTCAACTTTTGAAGCGAGCAGCGGAGCGGCAAAGCGACGCGACGGAACCACAATGCAGTTCGGCAAAGCGTGACGTCACCCCATGCAAAGTGAATGGGAAGCGTTGACGGATAAAGCATGCGACGCTGCCGTGTGGACCTACCGTTAAGGCTTATTTTGCTGTGTTGATGTCACAGTGCTTTGGCTAATATTGGGCAGTTATATCTTTATCATGGACTTTATGCAATAGAGTTGTTTTTAACACTTGATTGAACTATGATTAAGAACAGGATTGGATATAATCGAAAAGAGGGTTTTCTAAGTTATTATTTTTTGCAACAACCAATTCTTGATGTTTGCTGGTATCTGATATAAGAATTTGATTTGATTAGCGCGATGTAGGCGTTTCACATCTCGTACTGTTTGGTCTGAGACTCTGGTACAGGAATATTTCATTTAGAGGCTGTTGTTATCTGCAGCGCTGCTAGAAAGTAGGCTGAGTTTTAGCACATTTCTACAGTTAGAAAGGATCAGACAGAAATATGTTTTATCTTTTCTGCCGTATTTTTGATACGTTTGATTTCAAGGTACAAGCCTGCAAACTTCCCTGAGTAAAAAATATGCAGCTGAGTGTAAATGAAATGCTTATTTGTCACAAGTGCAAAGCAACCTCTGATAAACAGACACAAACAACATGTTGGAGAGTTTCTGTCATTCCTTTTTACTCCTGGTTCTTCTCTTAATGCTGGATGTGCTACTTTGATTATATGTTAGTTACTTTGTCTGCAGTCTTTATCAGAGCTTGTTTTCTAAAAAAAACAGCTCCCTGCTTATTCTTGAAAACAGTGTTGATGTCTTAGGGGGCGACCACAAAGTGCTGTTAAACCAAATCAAATAACTAAAAGCGATTCAAAAGCTCAATAAAGCTGCAGACATGCTTGATAAATATCTGTTGGTTCATCAATCACGTGTTAACATAAATATCATCCCAAAAACGTTCACTTAATAACACATATCAGAATTTGCATTAGCTGCAACCATGCGTTCATGCAATCACACACACACAGCTTCTCGAACACATGAAGCTCAGCGCAAGTTCAACCAGGAAGACCTTCTTTACTCATTCATCTACTATTTCCATGTCACTATCTCTCTCCTCTCAATAAGTGATCGGGGGCGTCACTCCCCAGCTCAACCAATCACTGCGCTCTATTCTCACAAGCCTATCATAGCGCTCCGCTAAATCTTTTAAATCTGCTCTCCCCCTTCTGACAGCTGTCATTTCAGGTGACTCAACACAACCCTCCTCCACCCCTTTTCACCTCCTGTCCCTCTGAATCCAGGGTCAAGCTAAGCCCCTCCCCTTCAGACCGACCCCAACTATCATTCACCATCACCAGTGTCTAGACCTTTCATCGGATCGGTTCTCCCCTCCCGAATGATACTCCTGCACGACAGGGCCTAATCGCCAAAACTCCATTACATTCATTTGTGTATTCCTGGCAATAAATATGTATTCCTAAATCAAAACCGTCTCTCCTGATTGAATTTCCGTTCATGCCAAATGTCAGTCTTATTCAGTGAAAACTCTCCACTGCAACATTTTGAATATTGACTAGTAAGGCATGACCGGACATAGCTAAATTGAAAAACTGCAATAGGTTAATGCTTTTCAAACATAAGATGTCAATGAACACAGGTGAAATTATCCCTGTTCTAAAATACAGTTAGCATATGAAGCAATACGTTACTTTGAGCACATGAACTTGCTACTCAACTTGCAAGCTAACCTGCTGAACTTGTAGAAGATCAGACACAGCAGAAGTAAACACTGTTAAGTTATATATGTATAGTTTCCAGCTGTGTTTTAATCCCGGATGTAAAGGCTGATGACAAGCCTCAGAGAAAATGCACGTTGTTCCCCTCAGATCCAATAGTGGAAAAATACAGGTGTGTGTTTGATGCTTTTTCTTCCCTTAGCAATACCTACATCATAAATCATACCCTAACTTGCCTCTGCCAGTAGAAAATGCTACTTTTATATGTTTGCATTATATGTTCTTGAATGCATTGTGGATGTACTCGTTTTGGAGCTGGAACAGCCTTTAAAGATTGTCTTCATGACCAAAATAAAGACTTTTATTCTCTTCAAGGTACATTGTTCTGTGTGTGTGGTTTTCTTCCTCTGTCACAGGAGATTAGTGTGGTCGGGGTTTTGCAGCTGAGTGCCAGAGAGGTCTCGTAAATCACTTTTCTGAGATTGCATAAGAGACTTTCCTACAGAGCTCTGGTTGGATGGAACATCACCTGAGGCAACGCAACATCTCCACCTCCAAACTGCACAGAATATTCATCTACAGCAGCAAGGATGTTCTGTACTTCATGTTTGAGCAGTGCTTTCATACGTCTCCCACTTATTCTACTATTTACTACAACTATTACTCTTCTGCAATTTCCTTCAGCTCTAAATACCTGCTATTATCTTAAATGGTGTTCAGTTGGGAAGGCACAGACATCTTTTGTTCTCTTGAGCAGGTCAGGTACACACCCTTTTTGACATTGTTTGTCTTTTTTAAATGGTAAACCCAGGTACGGCCCTTACGTTAACTTTACTACAGCTTAAAAGAAAAAAGAAAAGCTTACTACAGCAATACACAGCACACAGGCTGCCTGAGGGTTAGGGTCAACCGAGGGCAACTGTCCCCCACTTTATACATTTGAAATGTTACATATAATAGTATATGGTAATTGTCATTAACAATATTAACATCTTTAGTTGTACTAATACCCAGCTGTATATATTGTAATAATGGCATTTTTACACGTTTATTGTTTATTATATTGTAATCACATTTTTAATTCGAGCGCTTTTGCAGGTGCTCAAAGCGCTTTACATGCTTTGACATGTAAGAGTCATTACTGTGGACATTACCCACAGGAGCAAATTCGGGTGAAGTGTCTTGCCCAAGGACACAACGGCCTGACGCAGTGGCGGCCGAGGCGGGTTTCGAACTCGAGTTCACCAACGCCCCTTGATTTGATGATCAACGCTCTAAAGTACAATGTGCACATTTGTACTTCTTATGTTTGTATAAATATTTGTATTTTATTTTATATTTATTTACATTTATTATATATTTATTCTTAAATAAAGCATTACTGCTTTTGTCCCATTACTTAACCCATTGCTGCTGCATACTTTTTTATTATACCCCCATTACTTCCATAACAAACATATTTTAACCTATTAATGTTATTTTACTACTTTCATACAGTTTGTTTGCTAACACTACTATTAGCCTTATGATATAAAATGACTGTGTCTGCATTTCCTGTCGTTGCACCGTGTCACCGTACTGCCTGTTGCTTTGATATCAATAACACAGACACTCCCACCCTGATAAAGGGATTCCTGGCTAAACTTAGCATGTGTGATAGCGTTAGTAAATATGCATCTGGAGCAGCTGTTAACACGCCTTTCTGCTAACAGTTGGAATGGCTTGTCAATATTACCATCTATACCTGTAGCCAGAGGTGGGAAATAAAGTACTGTACTTACAGTAAGTATACCATTTTTACATACTTGTACTTTATGTGAGTATTTCCATGTTATGCTACTTTGTACTTCTACTCCAATACAATTATTATTCTGCCACCTTATTTCCTTAGTAACTGATCTACTGTATACAAGTAGAAATGCATTTTATTGTAATGCTTGATTTATGTTGCTTACTTCACACTTAAAGGTGGGGTAGGTAAGTTTGAGAAACCGGCTCGAGATACACTTTTTGTTATATTCCATGGAATGCTCTTAACATCCCGATAGCAATGAATATCTGAAGTGCTTTGACAAAAAATCCATACAAAAATGTCATCTGTGGAAGCCGTAATACTGTAAAAAGTACGACCAATCATTTGAGCCGGCCCGGCTAAAATGATTGGATGGCCTACCTGCCTGTCAGCCTTCCATCTGTGCACAAACTTATCTCGTGCCCTCATTGGTCATGTGCGCGTTCGTGTGTGTTGGAGGAGGGGCTCTGTAAGGAAGTGGCAGATTTTTTCCGGCTGTGTATTTTCAAATTCTAGCGCATTCGAGCTGGTTTCTCCAAAATTACCTACCCTACCTTTAAGTTTGTTTTGTGATTATGTCATTTGAATTTTCTTATGATGCTTAGTGAGTTGAGATTCTTCCTATAAACCCCCAAAGGACTTTATTGAAACTCACCTGCAACAATTTATTTTGTTGGTGTATTGCTTTGTTGTGCTCAAAAATACAATTGCAACACAGTATTTAAAAGTGTTACTGGAACTCCCAAAGGACTCGAGACAAGACTTAACAAAACAACCTCTGAGCAAACATGTCTTGCATGCGCATATTGATCTTGCATAAAGACCATTCAAACTAAATGAATAGACAAAACTCTCTGTAATTTCAGTGCAGGTCCCAACAGACACACACTAAAGAAATGTCTCCTCTCATATCCTCTGCTGAAAACAGCTGAGTGTGTGAGCAGCTGTGACTCCAAGGTGAGCTGATAGAAGAATGTAAACAAACCAGAGTGACCAGCATGGCTTCCAAACAGTGAGGCTGGGAACAACAGGTGCCAATTCACTAAGTTATGGTTCAATAAACTTGTAAATATAATAATACACTTATTCTCTGAGGGTACTATAGACAAAGCTAAATGTGACATGCTGGGTTTTAAATGTGCCATAATGTCTAAATAAATTGAGATTAGTAAGAAAAACTAATTACACTTATATGTATTTTGATTTCTAGTGGGGTTTATTTGACCCTCTTCTATCCTACACTGTATGAATGTGCCTCCCTTAGGCTAAGGTATGGCTCAGATCCACACCTTGCCATCCTCAATTAACGCCCACATTTCGCCTGAACAGTAAGCTTACTATACTCTTCCTTGATCCCCAAATAAAGTTATTCCACTCGAGTTACAGCAGTCCTTTAGTTCCAGTCTCTCTCCAGTCTGGCAGGTTACAGGGTGGCTCTCTCCTCTCGCCTTCAGGTGACTCCAAAGACGCACCGAAGGAACCCCGGAGGTTTCCCCTCTCTGGGATTAAATTCTAGTCACGTTCAGCAAAAAAAAGGGCAGGAATTAGATGACCAAACAGGTCCCTGAGAAGAGAGTCCTCTCACTTCGCCTCCACGCCTCCCACTCGGCTTCCTATATTGTCTTCTTGTCCGTTACGCCGCGCTTATCCGTTCAAACTTGATTACAGCATGACAGGAGGACTGAAGGACGGCGAGAAGGAAGAGGTACAGTATGGCTTCTCATGCGCACAGGGCACTATTTTAATGTTTCTTTTACCTTACATGGACTTTTCTTCTCCGAGGAGCTGCTTATTATTGCTTATAAGTCGCATAAATGAAGGACATTTGGATGTTAGTCCATGGTTTACAGCGCTGTGTTTCAATCGTTATCTTATTTTCTGGCACCTAGTCATGAACGCGTCTCCCACACACTCTCTAGGGAATGTGAAGCACCATTGAGGCGCATTAGCATGTGAGTGTGAGATTTTACCAGCTAAAACCTTTTATTAACAGAAGGACCGGTTCTTGCTTTTACGCATAACGCGGAAGGTTATATGTTCGTGCGTAAAAGCGCAAAGGAGAGTATAGCCAACAATTTTTATAAAAACAGAAGCATTCAGTTAAAAATCGTGAACATGTTCAAAATTAAATTATAAATCCATATGGTTTGGAGTGAAAGGGAGACAGATTCACGAAAGAGTGATGTGCCGAACAATGGAGTCTTTACGCACTGCGTTTTTAAGGCACTGAATACGGAAATCAAACGTGTTTTTACTTTAAATATGCCCATATATTTGTGGGAGTGGTATAACAAATTCACAGTTGATTAACCTAATTGTTCAGAAAGCATCCCAAATGATTTGGAAAACGCTTAGTCAGGGGATAATCAACATGTGGA